GCTCTCCAGCAGGTCCGCCCCAGCCTGTACCAATGCATGGGGCTGTTCCTCCCCAGGTGCAGGACCCTGCACTTGCCCTTGTTGAACTTCATCAGGTTCCTCTGTGCCCAACTCTCTAGCCTATCCAGGTCTCGCTAAATGGCAGCACAGTCTTCCAACACGTGTTGGCCACCTCCACTAGGTGCTTCCTGCTGTGCCTCTCCCCAAGCGGCCGGGAAAGCAGAGTCCTCTCCTGCGGTCTGTACAAGCAGCGCCTGGCCCGCAGCTCACTTCTGAGACATCTGCCCACAACACTGCCCGTAGCTCGAGCCCAAAGCAGTTGTACATTCAACTCAGGTGGGATTTTTCAGGTTGATATTAGCTCTTCATGCAATGCTTCTCTCTGGGTCAGGTAGGCGCACGTGTTGTGAGTCACCTCCCGCTGCAGATCTCCCCTTAAAATCCCTGAGCCACGCTGAGTAGTGGGACAGTTTTCAACAGAGTTAAGTGAGCAGCAACAAATGCGTTGAGGGTAGGATTTTTTTTACTATCACTCTCTGTGTAGTTTCACTTTCTAGCACTTACAAAAATCACTTGTAAAACAGCATAACAACACCCAGAGGTTTGACGTAATCCTGCTGCCCACTGCACCAGAAAATTCTCACTGAAGGTACAGCATCTTCCCTGAAGCCATAAAGTTCTGCTTTCAGTATCCTTTTTCTGAACTTTACTGGCCACTGCCATGTGTATTCTTAAAAAAATAAATCCAAAGAAAACAGTACTTGTGAAAAGTCATAAATTTCCTTGGTCTCTTAAAATTTTCAGCTAACTTTTTCCCAGTATTACAATACCAGAGTTACGTTATGAATAGCATATTGTTATGGGCTAGCCCTGGAAGACAGCCAAAGAGCCAACAGGCTGGTGGAGATGAGGGTGGTGAGATGATGCCCTGCCTGCATCCTGGCCTGGGACCGGTGCTGAGCACGGCTGGCAGCTGGATAACGGGGGACGCAGCTCCCGCCGCCGTGCCGGTACCCACCTTGCGCCCGCATCGTTGTACAGATGGATGAACACAAGCAAAGCTCACTTCTCACATTTTTAATTCCTTAACCCGCTGGAAGTTCAACCCCGACCATTTTCAGCGGTGTTCTTCACGTCATACATAGAGCTGAGGTCTGACTTTGATATTGCTAGATAGATCGAGAGAGGGAGCATGCCTGTGAGGGTGTGTGTGTATTTAAGCATAGCTACGTGTATATATATGAACATTTTATTTACATATATACACACACATCATTATGCATATCCATACACACACATACAAAACTATGTATATACACATCTCTTTGCCCATTATATATATACACATATATACATACTATATGCATATATACAAATATATGTATGTGCATATATAAGTACATGTGGTTTGTTTCATCATTAATAAGTAGTGCTCCTCTTTATTGAAACTTTTAAAATAATTTTAATAATGTTGACTTCAGGGGAACTACCCCAGAGAACAGCCAGATGCAAAGAGGACCCTGTGAGTACACTTTCCTTTTCTTGAAAAAATGTTCAACTTTTCAGCAGCTCATGCCAGAGCTGATCCAAACCTCACGGAAATCAGTGAGTTTCTTTCTGTGGGCTTTGGATCGAATCCTGAAAGATTGGGTCTGTTTTCTAAAACCTGTGTCTCCTGCCGCTGGCACAGGTCCCAGCACGGGTCCAGCTTCATTTATCAGAGCAAAAACCACCTCTGAATCCATTGTTGCAGACTAAGACCACAGCCTGGAGATTAAATCAAGGTCAAGTAACAGGTTAATGAACTTGATGAAACTGTCTCTATGAAGCTGTGTAATTAGGAGCTGTAATCAAACAAAAACTTTCTCATTCCAGTTGCAAAGGACCTGGGAAACTTCGCAATGTGCAGCCATTGCACTTAAAAGCTAACGCTGGCTGTGTCGATCCCTCCAGCTTTGCTAACGCCCTCCTGCAAGACGAACAAACGTGAGTGCTATCGCTACGAAAGCAGTGGACACGGAGATGATGCCCAGTGAATCCCCCCTCAGACGACAGCTTTTCAGGTACTAGTGGATAAGCCCAACAGCTTTAGAGAAAAATCAAGTATGTCTTTAGCCGCATAATGAACGGTTAACATTACGGTTATTTACCGCAGCAACAGAGAAGGTGCCGTACACACACGAGCTGTGATCCAGCCCCTCAAATTAGCCAGAGCACAAGGCCACCACCCAGCCAGCGATGGGACTGCTGGAGGCCAGGTGCGTAACTCCACCACGGATCGAGAGGAAATTACATTTCCAGTGACAGGCAGTGTGACCTTCAGCGTCTCGCAGTACAGAAGCATTTCATACCCAATTATTACCGACCCATCAGCTGGCCAAGCAACCGTTGTGTTTGCCTTTGTGCACTGAGCCCACACAGCCGACCCGAAGGAGAACGGGCTCTGATGAAACATGGCATGTTTGGGTTTTAAGGCCAAGGTGGGGCTTTTTTGGTGAATACCCACCTGGCATCCGTGTCCCCTGCTAAGAAAGTTCTGCTTTTGGTCTTAAAGAGAAAGAAAGAGGAGAAAGTGCAAAATTGGGTTTTCATTTCACTCCGTTTCCTTCCTATTTTTCAAACAGCAAGTAGCCTCCTGCATGATTAACTAGTTTATCTTTGTATTTTAAACATGGTTACATGGCTGTAGCAATGTGTAATATTCAGATCTAATTACTTTCCTCACGCTTGGAAAGTGGAAGAATCCAAGGATCGTTCAATAACACAACACGTGGAGCACAAGCGTGGAAATAGCTGGGAGCTTTCTTTCCAGCAGCCAGATGCGATGAGCACCGTCGCGGTGACAGCTCTGAAAATTACACCCTTGCCAGATGAGTAGCTGGAGGACATTTTCAGAGGAGCGCCCTGTAATAACCAGAGGATGACTTACCTTGAACAGCTTCTGACTCAAAACCTACTGAAATAATAATGAAATATCCGTGTTTCCAGGATGCTTTTAGGTCAGCCCCCAGGTCTCCAGGCTGCAGGGTTAATTCCCGCAGTACCACACCTGATATTACTGCTATCTGGGAAGAGGACAGAAGCTATGGATTTCAGAAATAGCTTTGTTATAGCATATGCTATATAAATAGTGGATTTTATAAGTATTTCTGGTTCTCACAGGCTAAAATGCAGTTGGGATGCTTGCATTTTTGCCTCTTGGAAGATGCTGCCACGTGATTGTCCTTCCTCCCATCTCACCTTGCGGCTGAGGATATTAGTAGCGAGCTGTTCAATACAAGATCTCCTCCCTCCGCGCAGATCTTCCTTTGTGAAACCACTGCACTTTGAAAGCAGCTCTTCCACTGCTAAAAAGAAGTGCCCGCCTATGCCAGTGTGCAGGAAAACTGCCACTGATAGGTGTGGGAAGGAAATTATAAAGAATCAGCTCACATTTGCCTTCAGTGTGACTCCAAAGGATTTCCAAATGATGTGCTCATGTGCTCTGAAGGGCTTCTCTTGGGTGCTATGTGTAGGAGCGAGTGGATGGGCTGTCTGGGGGTGGAGTATCTCTGTTGAACAGGAGCAGATATCGCTGTGCTAAAGAGACCTTGATGGTCCAGAAATTACTATTTTAGTAATGTAAAAGACAAAACCGTGTCACACTTGGCTGTGCTTGTTCTAATGAAGCTGCCATATACACGCAGTTAATTGGATTTTTCCTTAGAGCCTGGAAGTAGCATCTGGATGGCAACATCTGGCAACACGGCAGGAGCACGGTCTGGCTTATAAGTGAGCCATATTTCACCGCTCCAGATAGCGCCAGGGCCGTGAAGCTTTCCAATGTCTTCAGTGGTCTGGCACAGGGAGCTCACCTCTACCTCCCCCCTTTGGGCCAAGAGCTCTTCCTTTGTCCTTAACTTTTATTTATCTCAAGATGGTGAGCAAACTAGCATGGTTATATGTTTTACAGCTTCTCCCAACTCCAGTGATAGGCACCAAGAGAAACATTTTAATTCTATTCTGTAAAAATGGCAGGTTTTTGCACTATCAGCTGATGAACTTTTGGGATTTTCTTTAGCTAAACCAGGAATTTTGGTAAGAAGCTACACCAGTAATGAAGAGTTTGTGCACTCCTCTTTGCCTCTGCTGAAAATACTACTCTCATATTGTTCAGAGGACTAACTCAAGCTTGATGGTGTTTTCACTGCTATTAGTAATACGAATATATTGCAACATGAATTGCTATGAATTTTTGAATGGTGATGAACTGAAATTGAAACTCTAAAAATTAATCCAATGGGACATAACACTTTAAATTATCCTATGTGGAAAGGTTAAGTGTTTAAATACACATTTGGTATATGCTACACATATATAAATAATATGTACATGTATAAGTGTATACACTTACACACATTATATAGATATTCTTTAAATTATTAATACTTCAAATTCTATTATGTAAAATAAGGGTTTTTTTAACTTATTACATGGTTATTCTCAAATTCAGAGTAATTTCAGTTGAATTTTTAATGCATATGAGGCATTATGCACATAATAATAATTGTGTAATAAGCAATTTAGAAATGCTCTCTGACCAGTGGCTCTTTTTTAATAATCTCATGGGACCTTTCAGGCGGATATAGTGCAGCATTTACTCCCACTGATATAAACCTTATATTCAGGGTCAGGCCATAAAGCAGCTGATACTACTATATTCCAGCTATTTTTAAAAATTGAAGCAATTTGCATTGAGCACTTAGTGCAGGAAAGGCAAATAAAAGCAACATTCATGCAGGGTAGCCAAAAAGTGTTTGTTAAAAACATTATTTGCCATAAATTGCCTCTTAAGAATACCATGCGGATGGAGGAGTACAAAGAATCTGGTCTAGACGAGTCCCTCCGGGTCCGTGGCTTGCTTTGCTGGCAGGGGAAGAGGCGAGCTGGAGGATCTGCTGTGTAACATAGAAAACGTTCAACTTCTACGTAGAACTGAATATCCAAACGTGGGGCTCATCAGAAGCCAGCCATCGGAGTTGGAATTAAATCAGATGTGGACAGGAGTTGCTGCAACAGCCTTCCAGTTCCCTGTGTTTGGGGTCTGCTCTGGTGCAAGGTGTCCCGAGGACAGTTCAATTCACTCTGAAACAGACGGTTAAAAAAAATAACCTCCTTTGTGGTGGTGGTGCTTGGGTAAAAGTCTAGGACTGAGGAGTACAACCTGATGTTTTGAAGGCAGAAGACCTGTTGCCTAAAAATCACAGAACTTTGATAGCTTATGTTATTTGCTCATGAATATGAATGCAGTGGAGAGTACCACAGCGTGACCTGCGATTGCAGTGTCTGACGTCAAGCCAACAAATGGACATTTGAGAGAGTTGGGCCCTTTCTCAAACCCAACCATTTTGCCTGGTTCATTTTGTTCTTGCTTTCCATAATATATTTAATTCTATTAGTTATTAACAGTCATGTAAAAATAAATAGCATTTCTTAACAATGTTTACACTGACATATATGTTTAATACATATTCTCTGTAATGACACTTTCTGCCCCCTCTGAAAAGACTGCACAACTCAGCACAGTCGTTTAAAATAACAGCTGCTACATCTCTTTTCTCCTCTCTGGTGTCTCCTGTTCGATCCACACAACTCCTTGCAACACCCCGACGCCTGCATCTTCTCATTTGTGCTGGGATGTTTGGAATAGGACAGACAGGAAAAAAAACCTCTGGGTAGATCTGTCCCTTTCAGAAACCCAGCTGGGTTTGACCATGATGCTGCTGCCCCCCGTGCTGGGATCAGTGCCCTCCGCCCAGTCCCGGCTGTCCCTTGCTGGGGACGAGCAATGTCAAGGAGGGGCTTGGCCAGCATTGCCTGACCCAGACGTGACTGGAGCCAGGCAAAGGGAAAGGTTTTCCTCCAGTGTTGATACCACTAAATAATACCTCCTTGGGTAATAATATTATAACAACATCTGCAAGACCTCGGAGAAACAGACGCCCTCATTACAATGGTTCTCTAGCAGCTTGCTGTGAGTTCAGAAACCGCTTCTGATTCACACAGTTTTTCTGCAATTTCTCGTGCCTCACCTCTGCAGCAGAGGAGAGGGCGCAGGCCTGCGGCACTCCGATTTTTTTCCTGCCTTCTGGCTTAAGGCAGTTTTTGTTGGCTCTGGACAGCAGTGGAGTCTGAATTTCTCAAAGCCACAACTTCGGGCTGCCGCGCTGGATGTTTGCCACCTGCTGAAGACTCCTTACTTTAAAAAAGGCAAGCAACCTGGTGGCCACTCTAAGAAGCAATGGGAGAGCTTTCCGCTCGCCCCAACCTGCGCTGTCTCGGCTTCACCCCGGTAACTCTTCTTTCCGATTTTCTTTCCCGGTCCCCTGGCAGCCCCGCTGCCCAGCCCTCGCCCCGGTTGGGCAGAACGCCGGCAGCAACCCCAATGGCCAAAGGCTAAACCACAGGTAAACGCTTTCTTACAGCGGGGCGTCAGTCAAAAGCTTTTCTCATGTTTCAAAATTATACATTTCCCTTGTATTAAATAATGAATGGAAAGAAAATAGAATTTCCTGCCCTGCATATACAAGCTCTCAGATTAATTTGCTGCTATCCAGTATTCCCAGACTCATTTTCCGTTGCAGCAGGCAGGGACGCTCGGGAAGCTTGTTTTGTTATTTTTCATACCAGGCAGCTCTTTCTTCCTCTACAAGTTTCCATCTCACACCTTTAATGAAATACCTCTCACAATTGAGCTAATCTCTCCCACCGCTCCTCCTTTTCTCATTTTCACTGCCAGCCTCTGCCTTCTGTTCGCTCGGTGCTGCTATCAGTCTTGAGAAAACGCTCTTACGGGTTCTACCTATTCCATCTCTAACTTTCGAAAACGAAATATTTTCATGCCTCCTCTACACACTGCAATTTTAAATGGATCTAATCGGTTCTGCCCTCTACCTTTTATAACTAGAAACATTTTCAAACGAAAATTGAGATATCCTAGCCTTCAG